GCCCCCCCGACCACACCCCCTTAAAGGGCCAGCCCCTCTGCGGGCCCTAGCCCCCGCCCCGCCTCCAGCAAGGGCTGGGAGAGGGTCTGAGTGGAGCTGGAAGTCTGTCTGTCCGCCCGCTGCCCTCGTCAACCTTCCTGCGCCAAACCCGAAGGCTCTAAGCGCCGCTACCAGGGTTTCTTCTCCCTCAGGAGACCCTGGTGTTCGATTCCCATTGAGAGAGGGAACAGGGCTATGTAGGTTGAAGAGGAGTTCGCACTGTGTGCGGGGAGAGGTCCTGAGAGTAGACATGAGGGTCTTGACATCTGATCCTGCGGTTCGTGGCCAGTGTGGGGCGAGCGGATTACACCGAGTGGACAGACACGTGGACCCGGCTCTCCGGAGTCCAGGAAGGGAGGAGGCGAGCAGGAACTGCCCAGACCCCCTGATCGCCCTGCCAAGCGAGTCTCTACAAGCGCCCGCTACAGAGCAGGAAGGATAGAGGTGGAAGGGGGCAATAGAGACCCAGAGGCCATAAGGGTTAGAACCCCGGCGGCCACCGCCCACAGGGCAAGATGGCGACGGGGAGTGGCATGATGGGAAATGTAGTTCTTGGGGCCCACTCCACATGGCCGCCCCTCCCCCGGCTGAGCTGGCACCGGAAAGCGCCCAACTTGTTTGGGGCGCCCTCATGGGGCCGGCCTTGACTGGGCGCGGCCTTTGCACCCCGTGTACAAACCAGCAACCTCTGGCAAAGAGCTGGGAAGTGGCTGAGCCGGGACTCATGATGAAAATATATTAAATATATTAACAGCTGACCCCGTAAGGAGCCAGGTTTAGAACCAGGGCCTTACTTGCCCTGTACCCCAGATCTTTGCCTTGCGAACGGTTCCTTTAGGGATTCACTGATAGATGCCTCTCAGACCAGAAGCGAGTTAGATTTTCTGTATCTTTAAATCGTCCCGGGGGTGAGTGGGTGGCTGGTGTGTGTGTGTGTTTTGGAGTGTGTGTGAGTGTGTGTTTTGGGGTGTGTGTGTGTGTGTGTGTGTGTGTGTGTGTGTGTTTTGGAGGATGGCGCTCCGAGCTCCTGTTGAGTTGGGCCTACTCGGATATAAACACCTGTAAGAGACAATGAATGTCCTGATCTCTGGTTCCCTTCCCTGCACTTGAACTTTGTGATAGCTACCACTCTAACTAGTAAATAATGACTAGGTTTTCCTGAGTCTTCTTTGCTTCAGAAGGCAAGAGTGAAGTTTAAATAAAACATGCAAGGAACATTCAATTACTGCACCTCGGAGGTCCGTGAAGTCACACAGCGAGCTACACGTAGATGTAGCCTGGACTTGATCTTGGGCTGTGTGACTCAAACCGCTAATGCAAAGTCTCCACTCTTCCCTGCCCCCTCTCTACAAGACTCAATGAGGTTGTGCAGCTCCTGCCCAGATGCTCCTACAGATGGCAGGCACGGTGTCAGTATTTCTCTCCTAGCCCTTCACAGACACCCTTGCAGTGAATGGGGGGAGCCCCCCCAGAAGCCTTCTTCAGGAGGTGGGGTTCAGAAAGGGTGTGGAACTGGCCACACACCAGTGCTGCAACCAAACACAAGTTCAGGACTTGGAACTCTTCGTGCTTATGCTGTAATTAAAGCAAAACGACAGCAGACAGAAGCTGGAATGTTGTGAAGTCTTGCGTTTCTCCCCAAGATGCTGAGGTGGGAGTTAGGGTCACAAGGCTCGGTCCAGAGTGGGCACAGGGCATGTTTCATCCAGCCTGGGAGGCTAGGGAAAGGCAACCCTAGATCTTGCAGATTAGGGGAGACCTAGCCATTCCATAGAGAGCCCCATCCATGGAAAGCCTGGTGTGATGGGAGGAGCACTCAAGTCCAAATTCCCCACCTCACCCCTCTCCCCAGGGTGTGACAAATTTCCAGCACTAAACCCAAGCACTGATTGAGACTCAGGGGTCCTCACCCACAGGAGAGGTAAAAATGTCTCACCAGAGACCCACTCTGCAGAGCACCAAGACTTGTGTGCCAGCCCCAGTTCAGCCCCCAGAACATTCTGTGGGTCTTCCTCTTCCCTCCAGGCTGAGATCAGTTAAGGCTTGGCCTGTCTCAACATCAGGTGTTGCTTCTAGGCATTCTCAGAACAGGATCAGCAGAGTCAGGGTGGCCCCTCTCCCTCCTGTGACACTCCCAGGATTCCTAGGACTGACTCTCCGTTCAGTCCTACTCTGTAACAGCTACTGAGGTTGGGCCTAGCATACTGGATTAGGCTGGATTAGAACCTCCTCTTCCACTGGGCTGTCACTGCTGCACAATACCTTGGCTGGTGTGCAGTGGAAGAATTAGGTTCAAATCCCAGCTCTGTCCCTATAGGCTGAGAAACCTGGACAAGTCACTCACTTATCCGCCTTGAGCCTCTCCCCAGGGGCCGATCAGCCTGAACTCTGCTGGTCTGGCTGCAAGCCCAGAGCTGCCCAGCCCCAGGTCGGTCCTTGCTCTCTTGCTTGAACCTTTCTGGGGCTGGGTGTGTTCACCGCTGGCACTCCTCCAAAATCCTGCTGTCCCAGCATCCATCCCTCCACCAGAATGCTGCTGAGGCTGCTTTCAACACCTCCAGAGGCTGAGGCCCTGGGGAGGGTCCTGAGGGAAATGACCACTCCCTAATCAAGGATGAAAGGCTGGCCTGCCTTCAGCCATTACTGCTCCCTGAGAACCCCATTATCGTCTCCAGGGCTGAAAAAGAGTGAAAGAGGTCGGAGGAAGAAGGACTAATGGGGGTTGTCCTGGCCCCAGTGGGAGTTTTCCTGGTCTCTGGGGATAGAGAGGTGGAGGAGAAGGGGGAGAAGCTAAGTCCTAATGGCAAGCTCTTATCCTGTTTTCCAAGGAGTTACTGTCCAGTGCTTCCTTTGATGAAGTCTTCTACCCAGGTTAATCCTGGCACTGCCAGTGCCTATCTTGAGCTGACCTATTCCTTTTGTCGCCTGGCTTCTTCTTCCCTGATGTTCCCTACCATCCCAGTCCCCTTGCCTGCCTACTTACTATCCATTCCTAAGATGGTGAGCTGTCAGTGGCCAGGGTCATCTTTCTCAAGCATTCTCTTTCTCCTGCTTCTGGATAATAGGGCAGAGGCCTAGAGAGACCATGTTCCGCTAGCAGCAAGAGGCTGATGGACTTGTAGGGGCCCATCTTCCTGCATGCTCTCCCCCTGGGGGGGGGCGGTGTCTGTGGGCCTCTGAGGGAGCTGTCCAACTGTGCTGCCCTTGTGAGAGGACAAAGATGGCAGGTCCTACCCCTCTTTCTTTGTCTCTTCAAGGGCAGGAAGTGGAGGCAGGAAGGGAGCCAGGCTTCACATCAGAAAGTTAAAATCCCCTCTGTGGCTGCATGACCTTGGGCAAGTCCTTTCTCCTCTCTGGGCTTCAGGCATCTGTAATAGTGCACCCCACATATTTAAGGCCAAGGCCAAAGGCAAGATTCCCCCAGGTTAGAATTGGGGGCCAAGATGGTGGGAAGGGGTGAGGATGACTAGAGTACATCCTGTTCCCTTCAAGGTCCAACATAGGGGGAAGAGGGGGCCTGCAGAATCTGCTCCTCCCCGGCTGACCCCTCCTCCCCCAGAACCAGCTCTGCTCTTTCTGGGTTTCTAGGTGACTTGGCTGGCCCCTCTGGATGAGTTCTACTTTAAACTTGCTGTCGCTACTGTCTCTGTATTGGGGGGGCTCCCACAGGGGCCCTCAGGCACGAGCCCCCCCAGACAAGCCCTGCGGGAGGGGCTGCAGCCCCCACCTATCCTGTGCCCAGGAGCTGCTTTTCCCTCCTCCCACCTGGAATGTAGATTTCAGGGCACCAGCTGAAGGTCCCTGCAGAGCCCCTCCTCACCCCATCTTGTTTCGACCACCTAGGAGGCTTTGGACCCTCTGGGCAAATGCATGCCCAGCGTCCCTTTCACAGTTGCCAGCCGAGGTCCTTAGGGGCCGGCTTCAGATTCCGTGGGCAGGAGTCTGCAGCACGTGAAGTGGGCTGTTTTGAGGAGCCCCTGGAAGACCCGGACGCCTGAGTCCTTCTCTGGCGCCGCAGGCGCCGGTCCTCCAGTGGGTCAGGGAGGGGATGGCGCTCCCGGCGGGAGGCCCATTAGCAGCTAAGTGCTCCCGGGGAGGGGACTCTGTTGCAGATGGGGGTGAGGCGAAGTGAAGGCAGAGGGGAGTGGGAGTGGCTTCTCCTACATGGAGCTTAGTGAGGCTAAAGTGTAGTGGGGGTCAGGGCTCTGCGCCCGGTGGTCCTCCCCAAGTTTTGCCCTTCAATAGCATCCCAGGTCTAGTTGCTCCTCATATCACAATCAGCCGACCGACGCCGGACGCCTTCAGCAGCGGCCTCTTGCACCCAGTCCCCCTAGCTGCACCTCTAGCAGCCTTCCTGGACCCGAGTCTTCCCACATCCCTGAGCCCCCGCAGCCAAGTCGGAGCCAAGGTCCCCCTTTCCCACCCTCCGCCCAGCTGACTGCAGCGGCAGC